AATGTCAAATATATCTGCTCCTCCGGTCAATTACTGTATTTGTTTGCAGGATTCTCTGCTCTGTCCTGACTCGACTTCATGCTCAACTCATTTTTTGTGGCAGGGACGTGCTGGGTGTTGATTTTTGTCCATTTTCATATTCTTGTTTTTCCAGTGATAATCTATTTTGTCATTTTCTTCAATTTGTTTGTCGGCCGGGGCCTGGGCCTGAGCTCGAAACAAATTGTAATCAAAGTTCATGATTGACGGATGCCCAGAGTATTCATTATTCATGCGTAGTTCCATTTTGTCTGGAAACGTTAAGCGAATAAGAAATGATTTGTTTTTTTGCCATTCGGTTTTGCATTTTGAATTTCCAGCAAAAATCATGAATTTTCCCAGATATTCTTTAGAGATATGAAACAGTAAAATGGTCGAGTGGAGGCAGCAGCTGGCACTGCCTTGGATTATTTATATTTTCTTTGCTGCAGATACAAAATAATTATCTGATGTAGGGACGTTGCATTATCTTTAACCCCAATAAACTTCAAAGAATCTTTGATTATTTAATGGAAATACATTTTCTGACAGCTCAAAACATTTTCCAGAATATATTTAATGCATTTCTGCACAGCTGTCTTGGGAATTTGTATATTTATAAAGAATTTCTGGGGCACAAGAAAAAATATTACATACAAATGTGCTCTCGATTCCAGCATCAAAATTTAATTGCAAATACCAGAAATCAAGGTCTTCTTTCAATGGGAAAAAAAAACAAAAAAAAACGAAAGAAATCAGAGGATAAAAAGAAAATAATATATAATTCAATGGACTTGTGGATTTCACTTTTCAATTAAAGCCAGAAAAAGTTATGAATCAAAAGAAATGCCAGATGCCGAATGAGAAGTGAGTCAAGGTTTTGCATTTCGATTTCAATCAATTCTGAAGAAGATGCAGACACAGAAACAGATACAGATACATCTGTGGTAGTGGCAGTGGCAGTAGCAGTGGCAGGAGCAGTGGCAGGGGCACAGAAGCAACTTGAACTGTCTGCCATTTATCAGAGAGCAAATATGAAATGAAATTTAATGATATTATTGTATATCAATATTCCTCACATGGTTTGTTGGTTTGTGTATCTGTCTCGCTGTCGCTGTTTCGGCCTTTTCTGTGTGGATGTACTGCTGTTGCTGTTGTCAACGTCAATGACATGCAATTATTTCCACATTAAAACTCATTTCCGTTATTGTAACTGAAGCGAGACATTAACGGTTGGGTGAAACATCTATGGGTCTGCTGCCTGCTATGGGTAGCTCCCGGCTAATGGGCAGATCAACGTTGGCAACGTTGACGCTACATTGATTCGACAATCAATACTTCAATCGGTTTGCTCTTTATGTAAATTTGGCCCAATCCACCCAAACCTTAACCCTGGAAATACACGAGTACAAACCATCCTTCGTTGGGGTCTGTCTCTTTTTATCTTCATCTGATGGTAAAGTGTAATTAAAGGGATATGTGGGTGGCCAGCTGGATGATAACCTCATCATCGTCCACACACATCCCACATTTCACATCCCTCTTGGTTGACGGCCTGCAACATGGCCATATTAAAAATTATTATTGTATGCCGCGGGGCCCGAAATGAGAAAAGTTGGCGCCAAAAGTGCATTTAAAGCAGGATCCAGCAGGCTGCACGGAACCCATGAATCTGCGAGCAAACTTTAATATTTACTATCAATTTAAAATTTGCGCAAACATTTACAGCAGTACGCAGCAGCAGCAACAGCAACAGCAGTATTGTGGCAGGAAGTTATTGTCCTTTCGACCATCCACTTGAGGTCATTAATTCATTCAGCGACAGCTGCGAAAAGTGAAAATCGTCTTTCTCCGCTCTCTGGCTCTGAAAATAAAATTAACATACCGTGGAAGCAAGTAGGAAAATTTAATTAAATTGGCGTAAAAAATGATTGTTAAATGGGTGTCTGCTTGACTCTCATTTGCATCCAGTATAAATATCAGTCCGATCTTATTAACCATGAAAATAACCTACTTGGACACTCGAAGAGTCCACACTCGAACATGGGTGGTATATTATAATTTAGTTGTTATTTCTACTCTCTTGTATTATTATTATGTGAATGGTTTATTGTTTGTTTTAATGTGGCCGTGTCTAGACACTTTTAATATATCTAAATACTTGTGCTCTGCTACGAGGATGCAGTGGGGTGTGGTGGATGGGGAACGAGGCCACTCTTCAGGCTGCGTGTTAAAGTTGAAAATACTTTGCAACGCTCATACCCAGCGTTGGCCACATAAATCTTTCTCTGAACCCAACGCACCCCCCCTCCCTCCCAAGGACCCACCACTATATGTGCGAGTATGTGTGCACATTAAAAGTTTGCCTAAGAGCTTATGGCACCATTTGTTAAAAGCGATTTTTAATGCTGCCACGATATATCCACACATACAGACACACAGACACTCATGACACTCCTGCATATGTGTGTGTGTGTCTGTGTGTGGTGGGGGTGTGGAAAGCCCCCTCCAATGCCAGGGCCAACATCTAATGGCTTTCCACGCATCAGACGCAAAACTTTTTTAATGAGAGCGCATCAGGCCGATACCCTTTCGAGAGGAATATGAAAACTTTTGGCTTCGAATTTTGTATTAATAATGTAATAAATGATTAGAAAAGAGAGAAAAAACTATCTTAAAAACCTCGCTTTGAGTGGATTTCCTTCAGCACATCATTTAGAAGAACATCATTTTGACAAAAGAATGATTAAATGCTTAAAAAGATGAGAGCCAGCTTGAGCGAATTATGAGAAACATAATACTATTAAAATCGCATTAACTATAGATAGGACTTCTTCGAAAGTGGATTATCATCAGCCACCAATTGAAATCCAATTAAAAAAGTGTGATATACGATAAGGAAGACTTGAGGTTGCATTAGGTAAGATAGGGTTACATCAAAGCATCTGACAGACCGCCCCTCTATTGGATTACCATTAGCATAGCATTCAGAGCTCATTAAGCGTACACAGAGTTCGTTCTGGCGTTGGAAATTCCCACCATTCGAATCGCCTTTCGGCATCGCTTAGTGTCATTTAAATCGTTGCTTGGCTTGGCAGCTCCCGGCCACAGCTGGAAGGGGACAACAGACTACTACTACGACGAGTATCAGCCAGATTGTTGCCACTGGCAGTAATTAGTTGAAGCGCATTAAATCGCTATGATTTTGTCACGGCCTGACATTGAGGGGCTTCGGTTTCGGTTTCAGTTTCTGTTTCAGTTTTGTTTAAATTACGTTTTAGAATAGAAGGAGAATCGGCTTATAAAGTTGTCATGGCAATTGAAAAGCGTTTTATCAATTTCACACTAAATTGAGATGAACGAATTTTGGACTTCGGGTTTTTTGGCAAATATTTTTCTGTCCTGTTGGACATTTTAATTGAAAACGTATCTGAAATGAAATCATAAATAATGTTGATCTACAGTATAAATTGCTCTTTTCATTTCGTTCCAAATGCAGAACAAATTGCATTCCAAAATCAACACTAAGAATATTTCAATCTTTCATCCAAAAATATGAGATATATGAGTACCATATTTAATTTTAACAAAAATAAACAGATCTCTGAAAGCTTAATGCCCCTCCATTTGCTTATCAACATTAACAAACTGTAATAAAACATGAAATTGTGTAAGCAAAACGAAACGATTCATCAATGAAATGAAAGGGAATGTCCCCCATCCAACAAAAAAAATAATTGCTTAAAACATTTATCAAAAGCATTCATTATATGGCTTTTTAAACTTATGTTAATATCATTAATCAATGGAAAATATTTGTTACGCATCTGCCATTGGCCAGATATCAATTTGAATAAGCTGTTGCATCAAGATCGCCAGTGGCAGGGGCATCCTCTTCATCCTCTACACGGGCGAACGCATTAATGTCAATCAGCCGTGTAATTAACGCGGACAGACAAATGGACAGACAACGAAACAATATCAATGTCGAGTGACAAACGGGAGCCATAAATATGGCTAATCGGTACGGCAATGATTTGATTTGATTAGATCGCCCAAACTATGCGATTACCACTGCAGCAGGGCTCCCGTCCCCTTGTCCGGGCACCGGCTTTGGGAGCTCTGTTCGAATGCGACAAATATCTGACGGCGCGGCGGCCCCGAGTGCCGGCAACATCATCAACGCCAAGTCGTCGAGGGCCGTAATTAGCATTTAGCAGGTTGAACGACTGTCAAGAGACGCGTTGGGTACGGGTTCAGTACGGGTTTGGGGGTTCGAGATTCGAGAGGGCGCCATAATATGTATATTAGCCGGGGGCTAAGAGCGTTTGTAGCTATTTGGCAGCTGACAGCGGCTTTCAGTGTCAGATTCAGTTTCGGTTTCAGTTTCGGTGGCGCCAAGTTATTTGCACGTTGCTGGCAATTAATTAAATGCCGTTGATGAATTTGCTTTCCGCTTTTGTGGTATACACGCATTAGAGTGTGTCAGCCAGTACAAAGGAGTAGAGGGATAGAGAGAGAGGCTAAATATATGTAATTGCGCACAAGCTACTTGTGCATTGTGCAGAAGGAAGCTGACACCTTGCCTTGCATATTATACATTTTGAAATGTAGCTGTCAACTCTTTGACAGCTCTCTTCTCCAATTCCTTTTGAAATTTGGCCTTCATTTGATGTTTCTTGAGATGACAGCTCTTTTCTATTCATATGTACATCTATTACCCTACAATTTGCTTTCTGTGATGTTTTCCATTCCATTTTGTATGCTCAATCGTTTTTGTTTCTGTTTTTAATTTACGTATATTTTTCAGAATTCACATAATTCACTTGTGGCGCTTAAAACTGTCGTTTATAAATAATACAGAATATTTTCCACTCATTCACTCTGTTTTCCGTTCAGTTTGTGTTGTGCTTAATTAATTTTATGTTTGTTGTTTACTTTGCTTTTGATTTACTTCTTATCTAAATTAATTAATTGGATTTCTACTTCTTGATGTGCCGTGGAAAGGGCGTCAGTGTGGGCAGGGGACCACGCCGTGGCCGCGGGGTGCTCGTGAGGAAGTAGTTTGAGAATCGAGAGGTATAGCTTCCCCCAATGGAGGCCTGTGTGGGATGTATCGCCGGGGAGGCAATGCGTGCATACTGTGGCTTCAGAACAGCCTGCGGAGGAGGAGCGACTTTGGCCACATGTTGGGGCTTCAGTACTGCCAGTGGAGTGGGAGCCAGGCTGGCCACAGATTTTGGCTCACTCGCGGCCACTACTTTGGCTACTTCTTGGGGCTTTGATTCCTCGGGCTTGGCCTCATCCTCGAAGGGTGGCAGCAGATCCAGCGAGAGGAGCTGTATGGTCTGCTTTCCAGAGCTGGGCTTGACCTTATCGTCCTTGTTGAGCTGAGCGGGCTTCAGGTAATACGATTTCTTTGTGGGTTTCGTTATGGCTGCCGTGGGAGGAGGAGGTGCCACTGTAGTTGTGGTAGATGTAGTGCTGGGGCTTGTGGTTGAGCTTGTGGTTGGGCTTATGGTTGATTCATCCAGCAGTGGCGGCAACAAATCATTGAATGGCACTAGCAAATCGATTTTTTGGTCGTTTATTTCCGACACATCACCATGGCACACGCCGATCAGCACTGCAGAGGCAATTAATAACTGGAAAAACAGAAGGAAAATTAGTTGAAGCTATGGCATAACCTTATCCAGTGATCCAGTTTTGATTTGTAGACCACTTTTGCCAAGATGCTCCTAAGTTATGGCCCTATTGTTCGACTTTGGTCATAGCCACTAGTCCAAAAAGCTTTGTTCCAGTTTTAAAATTTGGCTAAAATTTAGCTCTGGAAGTGTGGGTGCTCGAAAGGTATTTTAAGCTGATTCGTTTCGACCTCCAAAAATAGCAAAAACCTTGCATTGTTTGGCGTCTTTTTTGGAACTGAAACTAGATACGTTTGGTGGCCCATTCTATTCGCTTGGCGATGCTAACGGAAGCTTGCTGCCTTTTCCCTCTGGGGAGAAAGGTCATTAGACCCGGATTAACATATGCATTATAATGAAACTAATAGAGCTTGAAATGTATGCACATTTGTGTCGATGAAAAGAAAGAAGTTATCTGTCATCTTATGCTCATGGTTCGCAGATTCACACCTCAGATAATAAAGTAATTTATTTAGTCATAAATATAGGTAAATACCATGGTTGATGTCACCACAGAAGAGTCTTTTATAAATATATAATAGCTGATTTATATTTCCAAAATCAATTTTAATTCACCAAACAAATGATATTAATATGGAAATATCTGATCTTTCTTGCCGTCAGAACCAATTGCATAATCTTTTACGTCACTATAAATGATTTTGAGGTGCTCAAACTGGATTTTGTTCACTAATTTATTCGTATGCAAATTCTCGATTAGAACAAATTTGTTGCATTATTTAATACATTTTATGTCCAGAAAGACCAGAAACGAAACCTTACCGAAAACACTTTCATTTATAGCCTGCGGCAATTTAGAACTGTCTAATTAATGCAACAGCATTCCATTCCAAAACTTACGTATTTCAGAGACATGTCTGCTAGATATTATATCGTATATGGTATAGGGGTGTATTCCAGTCCCAACCGAACGGTTTGAAATTTTTGAATGAACTAAAAGCGTTGCTGAGCATGCGCAGCGTTTTTATAGTCGCTCAAAAGCCATTTCATTTAACAAAATAATACAAAATAAAATGAGAAAGGAGGGGGAACTTACACGCAACCTGGTTGGACAGTGTAAAGTTTAATAACCGGATTAAGCCGCGCCGTCCAGCAACGGGGTATTTTATTTGTATTATTTCGAGAGACGTTTTTTCGGCTCCCATCTGAAAATTTGTCTGCTCCGTTGTCTTTCTGGTCAGTTAAGTTGTTCCGTCAACATATTTTATAAAGCATCATGTTGTTTGCTGAATGCAGCATCAGTATCAGCATCAGAAAACAGCATAGTCTTAGGTTTCAGCCTGAGAAACAGCTGATTACCTGAGGCATTTCGCTGAACTCTTGCCACTTGGTTCACGGTCGTTCACATGGTGCACGAGTATCTGGCTCCGGTGATAAGGTGCGAGGTATGTCACATACTCACAGATGTTTCATTTCGTTTTCGGGGAGGATGAGCGGATGTAATTTTGAACATTTTGTCAGCAGTTTGCATAAATTTGGCTAAAAACGTAGCAGCAGGTTTGTGTCACTTCCTCATACATACTCGTACTGGGGGAGTGTACGAGTATAGCCAAAGATTGATTTTATTTCCAATTCTTAATTGATTTTAATGGGATTCGCAGCAGCAGGAGGGAACCTGTCTGTATTCTTGTCTTTTGTGTCTATCAAGTGGAACGCCCTCATTTGCATCTAGATTGTGGGGAGCACACTCATTTAATGGAGTGAAAGCAAATTAGTGCCAATTACTCCAGTTCTGCCGATACCAGATCCAGATTCACATCAAAGCTCAAGCCTATGTATGATAGAGCCACCCAGTCGCTGGGTTTATTACCTCAATTTCATTTGATACATCTTCAATTTATGCAAATTGTATGAGCGTTGATTTTTGTGTGCGTGTGTGTATTTGTGTTTGTGCAAAGGCTCTCTGCAAAGGCACATAAATTATCAGCAGCATTAGACCCCAGCCAATAGCTATGCCAACCGGATTTCTTCAGTTTTGTATCTTGTTCGGTTTTGTGCGTTGAGATTAATTGCTCAGCAGCCCATTGTCAAGATTCGTGTGGTATTTTTCTGATAAGCCCTGGCAGATACCCAAATACCAAAATAGTTTTAATTTCGTATTGTGTTGTGTGTTGTCCAAAGTGTTTGGCTAGTTAAGTGGATACATTTTTCAGCAGATACCAATCGCATTGCCAAGGAGCAATGTAGTGCGCTTTTAGCGGTCTTTATTTAGCATTTTAAAGATTCGCCAGGCATTCGAGAAATAATTTATCAAATGGTGAATACAGTATAAATGTTCTCCCATGGGGTCCACCGTTAATTACTGTATTGTTTGGTTTATTGAAAATTCACGTGCCTCAAATGCATCAAAAGGAAATTATTGATGCCAACCTGAAACGGCTGAATGGCTCCAAGTATTTCACTTACCCAAAAATTGCCATTGCGTATCCGTTCTCTCTCCCTCTCTCTGCCTCTGTCGACCTTTTTTATTTGCTCCTGTGGCATTGTGATTGTTTTCGATTGCGCTATACACAGGACTCGATATTCCGACTCCATTTCCCGTGTGCTTTTCCATGCCTCTTATTTATTTATATGTATTTATTTATATTTATGTGTGGGGGAGTATGTATGCGATAAGGGATACCAAGAGCTGTATGGAGTCCTTTGGGCCGGTCGCGTACATTCGATTGTCTTTATGTAAGCCTCTGACCCCAGCATTGGCACTTCTGCTGCTGCTGCTGTTGTTGTGGCATATAAATCGAAAATTGTTGTTGTTTTACACAGAAGGACGATGCGTGTCAAGGCGTGACATAAACAATGCTTTATGCTTTATATATGTATGAAATCGAACCTCAAACTTACGGAGAGGAATGAAAATTAAAGCAAAACAACAGATGTCTCGATGTGAAGACTCTGCTGCTCCTGATGCCGCTTCTGCTACAAAAATTGATTTGAATATTTCATAAATTGCGGTTATTATACCCGATACTCAAAATGAGTATTGGGGTATATTAGATTTGTGGTAAAAGTGGATGTGTGTAACGTCCAGAAGGAATCGTTTCCGACCCTATAAAGTATATATATTCTTGATCAGCATCAATAGCCGAGTCGATTGAGCCCTGTCTGTCTGTCCGTCCGTCCGTCTGTCCGTCTGTCCGTCCCCTTCAGCGCCTAATGCTCAAAGACTATAAGAGCTAGAGCAACGATGTTTTGGATCCAGACTTCTGTGATATGTCACTGCTCCAAAAATATTTCAAAACTTTGCCCCGCCCACTTCCGCCCCCACAAAGGGCGAAAATCTGTGGCATCCACAATTTCGACGATACGAGAAAACTAAAAACGCAGAATCGTAGAAGATGACTATATCTTCTAGAGTGCAAAATCTGAACCAGATCGTATAATTATTACAGCCAGAATCACGAAAACAATTTCACTCTTTCTCGCTCTGTCTCACTCTAACACACAGGTTTCATGGTCGGTTTTGCCAATTGCAAAATATGAGTTCAAGGATCTCAGAACCTATAAAAGCCAGAGCAACCAAATTTGGTATCCACACTCCTGTGATATCGGACCTTGACCGTTTCCTGTCCAAATTTCGCCACACCCCCTTCCGCCCCCGCAAAGGACGAAAATCTGAGGCAACCACAAATCTCAGAGACTATTAAGGCTAGAGTAACCAAATTTGGTGCACACACTCCTTTAAGATGTCACTATAAAACGTATATCTCAGAATTTCGCCCCACCCCCATCCGCCCCCACAAAAGACGAAAATCTGTTGCATCCACAATATTGCAGATTTGAGAAAACTAAAAACGCAGAATCATAGATAATGACCATATCTATTAGATTGCTGAATCTGGATCAGATCAGACCATTTTTTTAGCCAAAAGGAACAAATCAATTTGCAGTGGCTACGCAGCGCCCGACGTCACGCTCAGACTGATTTTCTGTCTCTCTCGCACGCACTCTTTGTCGTGTCGTTAAATATTAGCGGCGTCTGCCGGAGGAGAGCCATACTGACTTAGTATCGGGTATAACCTTAGAGTTGCGGTGTCCGCAGCAACTCACAACGTTCCCCCTCGTTCCCAACTGTCATTGGCGTAGACATCGGCACCACATACATCATTTTTCATACACAAATGAAAGTCCAGTCTAAAACAATTGAAGCCTTTAGCATTTTGCTGTTGGCATAATTAATGAAGCCTTTGGAGCTTGAGGTATGAAAGTCCTTGCCTGGGGGCTCTTGAGGAAGAGAATTTCAAGGGCACCCACAGTAAATGATCTCAGAGTCTTTGCCTTTGAGCTGGTTCGTTTTGAGAGAGTACGTTTTTTGGATGGAGTAAGCTACTTGTTGTTTCAAGCCGGCACTTCACAAGCAAACAAGTGCTGTGTAGATGCCGGAGAGAGAGAGAGAGAGGGAGAGAGCGAACTTAAAGGAATCCAAACCGGACTTCCTACCTGCTTGGCCAGAATATGTACTGGCACTTTTGGCCAGCCAGCTCGAGGTTGTTTTGCCTGCCAGTCTGTTTGTCCCTCGGCTCATGGAACCTGCTGCCGGTTGACTTTGTCTTTCCTTGGAGTCGTCCCTGTACCTCTCTTCCTCTCTAGAGCTGGTGTCCCTGGCTCTCTGGCTCCTTGGCTCCCTGGCTCCCTGACTCTCTGGTTGCCTGCCTGAATGCCGTTTACAACTTCCTGGTCATGCTTCTGGCCTGGCCTGGCCTGGCCTTGCCTTTTGGCTTGTCGTTGACTCTTTGTTTTTCGCCTGCTTCTTTTTGTAGTTGTTGTTGCTGGTGTTTTGTTGGCCTTTATGGTTATCGTCGCTTTCTGGTTGCCTGTTTGTTGTTCTTGGCCGCAAGTTTGTTTTCGGCTGTTGCCAAGTGGAGTGCGCCGTCCATCAGCGTTGCTTCCCCTGTAATTAGCACAAAAAATCATGGATGGAGGAGAGCCAGAGAGAGAGAGAGGCAGAGAGTCATGGATGGAGGATGCACCCCGAAAAATGTTTGCAACTTGAAGTTCTCTCGGTCTTGTTCTTGGTTCTGGTTCTGGTTCTCTCTCTCTGACTTGGGTGCCTGGTCCCGCTGTGCTGCTGCTGTTGCAGTTGCATGATTTGCGGGGCTCCGAAAGTCAAGTCAAACTCAAGGCACTCGCACAGCGCGCACTCGAAAGTCATAAAGTGCAAAAATTGTTACACTCAGGCAGAAATGAATTATGAAAGTTGTTTCCAGTTGCAGTTGCAGGAGAGAGAGATGGCTACGATTCCTTTCTGCCTTATTTGGGTTACCCGTTGCCCTCTCTCCCATCTGCCTTTCCCTTTCGAGCCGAGCCCAGCCGAGCCCCAGCGAAAGTTCAGTTTTCAGAGAAAGTTCTGTTTGCGAGTCGGGTGCATATTATTTAATTCAATTTGAATGGGAAACTTAAAAAATATTGCAAACTTAAGAGCAAACCAACGAATAGTTTTTTTGTTGTCTTCTATTTTGATTCAGAAATGCTTACTGGAGAGTTGGCTAAGTTTTATTTCGATTCGAAGCAGCCTCATCGCTCAAGACCCTTTGGGGTCCAATGCAGAAATGAATTGGGCTTACTTTAATTTTGTTTCTTGACCGAAAGGGTTTGGTCTACCGTCATAGTTTTTAGTTGAAGCAGAACAAATTTTATTAACAGATCCCCGGTCATTGCAGTTGAGTAAATCAAGTGACTTTTCCAACAAAATATAACAAAGAAGATGGCCTCTAGGACCAGTTGGTTTGTTAAAGTTCTCTTTATTCCGCCACTAACACTTTGACCTTCTAATTGGGAGCCTAATTGGCAGATACCTAATTAAAATCCGACTTCAGTATGCCTGCATAATCGGAACCAACCGCACACCTCAACACCAG